AAAAATGGTTCATCATGCCCTCTTGTTTTAAATAAAAGTGCATGCGTGCATTTTGCCTGCAGATGATTGAATAGTCTTCAGTGGACAAATTATTAGAAACTTCCATCAAAGTGCAGCATTAACAGTTTACTGTGGAGGAAAGAGGCTGTGATGAGCTATCTTTCCTTGAATTCTTAATTCCTGACCTTCATCGCTGCTGCAGTGCATTCATGGAACACACTCGTGTCCTTTATATATGTTTCAGGATTAAAAAAACAGAATAATGCCAGCATTTAGTGGAGGCATGTGTGCCAACAACAATATATAAGTAATAATAACACATCAGAGATAAAGTGCATATACAAGGGAGTTATAGCGACCATCATTCATGCAGACTGCATCTTTTAGTTGTCTGAAGATGTTTAAAGTTACTCACAGGACTCAATCAGTCATTCTTACGTTAACGTGTTAGGGTGCTAAATCACATTGATACACAGTTCATGCAAACCTCTAACATGTCAAAATTTTCATCACTTCTGTGACTTGTGTCATCATCAAAATCACCGAATAAAAGCCTTTAAAATGCCATTTCTTAAAGATGTCTGAGATTAGACTTCAGGCTTCCTGTTGGAAGTGTGACAGAAATGCGACAGACTCTGACCCTATTCCCGCATTTATGTCCATTGATATCAGCATTGCTGATATCAGTGCTTCGATTTTTATACTGTCGTTGTGTAAATAAATATATCTGAAATAATTCATCGGGCTGTTTTGACCAGCATCTCTCAGTAACTTTAATGAGGAAGATTTGGGAGGCATTATTTTGCTTAGCTTGGAGGATTTCTCGACTAGATCAGTGTGATGATTGATTATAACTCTCGACTGCCAGTCTGAGGTCTTTGTGGCTCCAGTCTGTAGCAAACGTTCATTCAGTGTGTTTGCCTCAAATTATTCATGAGCTTGTTGTCCACCATGCCGATGCTCCCTCTGAGACTTATTTTATGCGTGGCTCGTTTGGCTTTACAACGGCAAAAAAAGCTTAATCTCCCCTAAAAACTCATAATAAGTCTTGGAAATCAGTAATTCTGTGTTTTGAACACCAACAGTCTGCAGTGGAGGCCCACTGCCTCTCAGGGTTAAGAGTAGACTGAAAATAGGGCAGCAGGAGAAACAAAGGGGATGGAGGTCCAAGATGGCGGCAGGTGGTGTGGCAGAGGCTGATGTGGATGTTGGTTGGTCTTTAGATTCCTCCCCTCTGATCTGCTCCACTTTCTCATGGTGCGACCTGCTGAGATGGCATTTCTATTTCCGGCAAACAAACAAGCACACAAGCGACAAACAAAAAGGACAAAAAAAGGGAACAAAGCGAGTGTGCTGGAGGTGACGGGCAGAAAGGGATCTGATCCACTTCATTTCTCCTCTGTTTACACATAGATGTGATTCATTTCCAAATTCTCACACAGCAAACAGAAGGAAACAGTTGTAATAAAACGCACGACTTTGTTCTGCAGCTTTTTCAGACATGCCCGTTTGACGCCGTAGGGTCTCAGGTAGGAGCTGAGACAGGGAAGAAAATAACTGAAGACCACTTATGAAATAAAAATTAAATAATAAGTTCTATCAGCCTGACAGATCGCGTATTCTTTATATCAGAGTCCACAAAACCATTTTCCAAAACTGTGATGTCTCTCCAACACTTCAGGCAGCAAGTCCCAGGATGTAACAGGTGTTTTTCACAAAACTCATTTCCATGTAAAGTAAGTCCCGACTAAAAGAGAGGAATGAAACATTGGTGATGTGTATTTATCTGTAACTTGCTCATCTGAAATATTCTTCACACTGATCTAAAATGTTCCTGTTCTTTTGAGTCATGTAAACACCCTGGATTTGGCCTCTACATCAAAAGGTTTTTGCTTAGACACAGCACTGGTTCATCCCTTAGCTGTCTTTTTTTATACTGGAGTGATTCGCAGTGTTCAGTGAGTGTTACGTTAAAAAACAAGAAAGTAATCCCTCTGAAAATGGATTGGACTGAAAATGGTTGACAGAAAACCTGGAGAACTACCGCTCAAGACCACTTTAGAAGACTTCCATGAAAGTTTGGCTCTTTGGAAGCAAAATATAAAGACATGATGGGTGGCTCAAGACATTACTGTATATACACGATCCTCGGCTGAAATCAATTACATCAGTGCTTTTGCTGACATTATTGTTGTTTTAAGAGTTTACTCTATAGCTAACACATCTCAGTTATAATCTTTAGGGTATTTGGAGTCTAATGAAATGTACCTCAGCCCCCAAAGTGGGCTATGGGATAGGTTAGAGCAGCAGTCCCCAACCTTTTTTGCGCCATGGACCAGTTTATGTCCGACCAGTTTACGGCCTTTAAGGTGTAGCGGATAAATACAACAAAATAAAACCAATACAGGTACCAAAAAAAGAAGATTTATTCATAGCACAAGGGAGAAGACCAAGAGAAACCGAGTTAACGATAAAAACGATTAAAAAATAACTCTAAAAACCGATAAAAACTCTGAAACAATCAATTTCACATCCGAGCCTCAACTCTCGTGGCCCGGTACAAAACAACTTGCGGACCAGTACTGGTCTGAGGCCCGAGGGTTTTGTCTTGTCAGTGGTGTCGGTATGGTTGGTAATTCAGATGGGAGTAAAAGAACCTCTCAAGACCTATTTAAGTCTATATTACTCAAGTCAGAGTGACATCAGCATAAGGTTAGAAGATTATTTGTATTCTCTGGGTTCATGCCACCATCACAAAAACCCAAAAATCAAATAATTTCATAGGAAGTCTTCGTTGTGGCAGGGTGAATAAGACTGAGAAGATGCAGAGAAACCAAAAATGGATATGGTGACATTTTTAGGTAGAATTTGGCTTTACAAATAGCAGCCTCACTGAGCTCCACCATTTCAGGGATTATATTGGGAAAAAAGACAGCCAGTGTGACTGTACAGATCTGCAGCGAGTCCGGTTATTACTGAGTATTTGAATGTGTTTACCTGGAGAGGAGCCCGTCGCCTGAAGCACCGGGGATCTGGGGCTTTTGATGCCTTGACAGCACACTGTGGCCACACAGTTTAAAGGACAGCTCCACCGCGGGTTGAGTTTTGAACATTTTCCATCATTCTGACATTAATTCAGCCGCTTTTACCTGCCTGCTGAACATTTACACACATTTTCAAATCCTTGTAGTGGAGCCACTCATGCTATTTAGAATTCAAACAGCAGAGAAAGTGGCTGGTGAGCTAAAGTCTCTCAACTAAGACGGAAATTAAAAGTGCAATTGGCAGGATTAAGATGCAGTCTGATCGCCACTTGGTTACTGGTTTGAAACTGGAAGGGAGGACAGTTTGTCAGTCTAAAGTAAGGCAGTGAACCTGTCAGCATCTGCAAGGGGGAAAAAAGCTGCTTAAAAAAGTAGCGATAAAGGTTTTAAAAAAACTGTTTCTGCGTGATGAGCACGGATCTGCTGGTTTTACTGGTTCAGGGTCCTGATAGGGGCCAGTTGCCATGGTGACAGAGTATGTGCCAAGCCAGGGATGTTGCTTTTTATCAGCCTGGCTGGTCAGATGCGTGTGATTGAAATGTTTGACCGTGCATTGTGTGCCTTTTTGAATTAGGACAGTTTGTTTGGCAGCACTCCGTGTATTTGCACAATGTGTGTTTGTGTGTGAGCGGTGGCAAGCGTCCCCACAGCGCTATAGGGAGGCTAATTGTATTTTAATTACAAAACCATCAAACGCACAAGTCAGACAGTTACCTTCCACCCCCAGAAAACACACAGTAAATGGAGCAGTTAAGTGTGTGTTCAGCCCGCTGCTTTTATTAATACTGATGTCTCATTACAGACGCCAGTCAGTGGAAGGAAACTTGAGGACGCGCGAGCAGAAAATGCATAACAAAGCAAACAAAACCATTTATTTTATTTAGGTTTAATAATGTGCAGAATGAAACGTAACCCACATATTTTAAATAATCAGTCTTGTATACTTGCAGCCTATATTTTAATAAGATCTTTGTAGCATCCTGATTCTTTCAGTTTTTTAAATTTCTTCAGAGGTTGATTCGGGTTTGTGCCCTGCTCCTGTACATCTCTCTATTCCATCTGCTTTTTCTGTAGATGACTCCAGGAGCCGGTTTATTTGTTGCACTCACTGCACTGCCACCTTAACTGCAATGGCCAAAAAAGAACTGGACACATTTTCACCGAGCGTGAAAGCAGAGATGTTTGGGTTAATGGCAGTTGGTCTGTGAGAATCTCAAAGTTATTCACTGGAAAAGCACTTGTCTGAAATTGCTTCTGACTTTGGCTTTTGTGGAGGAATGATGTGAACGTAGCCTTTTAGCAACATCCACAGTCTTGACCGAGTGTTGTGTGATGGAATTACATTCGGTGATTTTATTGCACATTCTAGAAATTACTTGCTAGTTTGTTATTTCAATAATCAAAGCGAATTACTTTCTTTTGAATTGTTGTCAGAAAAAATAAACTGAGAACTTTGGCGTGGCGCGGTGCAAGACCAGCACATTGTTTCTTCTGGAGCAGCCGACAGCAGCACAGAGCAGAAAAGACAGATATGAAAAAGTTCATATCTGTTAAAACCTTTATTGACTGCGGCTGCTGAATTTATGTGACGTTACTGAGTGCAATAAACTGGAAACACTTTAATCTCATCAATTGTTCTTTGTTAAAAGGCCGGTTTAGCTTAACGCTAAAGCTTTTGCAGATAACATCGCTGAGAAGAGATGATTCAAAGATTTAAAATGTGATGAGATGAAAGTTGACAAGTGTGAGGTGCAGAATCAAAGTAGAACCTGAAGTGAGAATAGAGCAAATGACTGTTTTAAGGTTATTTTTACAGTCCAGCTTCTATTTGATGTCTCTAATCATTTAAGCTGCATCAGATCAAACGGATAAACAACACTAACTCGAAGTGATTCACCTTAAATGTTTCAGAAACGAAACTAACCCTGTCGCTTTCCCTCTGTCATCCAATCACAGCTGCCCCACCGTCGAGTGACCTTCTCTACGGCCAATCAGGCGCAGGATCTGCAGGACGCATCCCAGCACAGCTATTACGACAGCGGCTTGGAGGAGTCAGAGACCCCCAGCTCCAAGTCATCGTCGGGGCCGCGGATCGGGCCTCTGGCTCTGCCGGAGGACCACTACGAGCGGACCACACCTGATGGCAGCATTGGCGAGATGGAGCACCCGGAGAACGGTAAGACCAGGTGGAGTTTCCCCTCCCTCTACTCCTCTTGTCACCTCCTCCATCCATCCATCAACCCAGTAGGAAGCAGAGGCACATTTGCACACATATATAAACACACACAGGCGCACGACTAAAAGCATATCAGCACCGCTGGGTTTCTCACACATTATAACTGTTTTCATTACACACACCTCGCTTGCCCTGTGTGTCAAAACGCGGCATGTCAGCAGGAATGTTAATGGCGAATATATTTAATCAAATTCCCACAATTCCCTGCGCTGCGCATACCTTCGTTAAAGAGGTGTGTGACCTCACAGCAGCACAACACAATCAATATGCAACATAATCAAGTCCCACGGCTTAACGAATTAACATCCCAATTATGTAAATCATACCGAGTCCAACCCTCTATCAGCTGCATTTATAGATCCGCAGAGGGAGGCTAACAGGGAATAGCTAACACAATATTCTGCTCTCTGACTTCACTAGTTAGCATTTTGTCAACCTGTCATCATGTTAGCATGTTGATTTTTCTTTCTATATACATATATATGTCGTCCCTTGTTTATCTTTTACAGAAAACCAGCTCTGAATATCTTTATAGTCCTCACAGGTTGTGAGTGTATCAGTCTGAGCCTGTTAGCTGTAGACTGTTTACTGAAGCTAACGATGTTAGCGTTCCTCCAGCTGAACACGATGTGCTGTAGTGTTTTTATCGTAACTTGTAAAGCACGATGAAATATTTAAAGTGATAAATAAGGGGATCATACTATTCTACATAATGGTAAGGATATTACCTCATCTCAAAATCAAATAACATCAGGTATGAAAAGTAACGCTGGATGGATTATGTTAACTTGTAATATGCTAACAGCTAAATGTAAACTTGGCACATTGTGACCCACATTATTACCACAGCATCACCGTGTTGACTGTAAGATTTGTACCTTTGACATAGAAACTCTAAACAGAGCTATAAAAATAACTTGATAATACTGACAGGTAGAAACAAACGAGGCAGCATTTATATGTTGTCTCAACTGATCTACTTCCACACTTACACTTATTTTTAGTGCACGAGTATGTTCCCATAACCGAGTGCAACTACACGGAGTGCTTTTTGTGACGGAGAACTCTGAACCGTCAAAGCGCCAGCAGAGTGTGAAGCACTTACCTAGCATGGTCACATCGTAGTTGTGTGGGAGACAGGGAGGGAGGATGTATCATCAACACCTGCTGTTATTCTACTGTTAGCTAGCTAAAAATTGCAGATTTAGCACCGTGCATGTGTTAAACTGTTGTTAAATTCAGTATTACAACTTCCAAGCGTTATAGAAATAGCAGCAGCTTGCACGTCAGTCACAGTCCTACACAGCAAATTCAGGTAAGTGCATGACTTGACAGTAGTTGGTGTAAAGTGTTGTAACTTTCAGGTCTGAAAAATGAGGGCAATTTCTGTGCAGTGGCCATCAGGGGATGGTATCTGTGTTTGCAAAAAGACTTCCAGTCCATAGACCAGTTTGAGGGGTGTATGAGCCTTCGGCCCTGACCTTATTAGACACTTTCTTGTCTTTACTTTTCCTCATTTCGGATCATATTTAATAAAACAATTAGTCCATTTAAATTTTTTGATAATTCCATGTCCCAGAATTGAGGATTATCCAGGCTATGCATGTTCAATATGGAACTCATGCTCATTGGCTTTATGCATAATCCAATGGGTGGGATCACAGTGGTCCATCCAAACATCAACTCTTGAAGCAGTTAGTTAAGGCGCTACCTTGATACTGATGACTGTAAACAGACTTGATGTGCCCTGTTAGCACTAAATGCTAAATAGTTCCCAATATTAGCCTCGTTTAGCTTGTATTACCATGATGTTAGCACATTGACTCATCTCAGATTTATATATAAATCAAGTTTGTATGTGGGTACTAATATTTATGTTCAAGGAAACCTGAGAGTTTTTCTTTTTCAAAATGTTCTAATTTATTTAATTATTTGACTTGTAAACCATCATAAATTCAAATGATGTATATTTTACGTGTACCAGTGATGTTAGCTTTAGCTGTAGCCGCTCATTATGGCAGCTGTGAAGAAATTCAGCACGACTTTCTGAACATGCTGAATGAGTCTTTTATGCTTTAACTGTGTTATAATCCAGCAACAAGCAGTGGCATTGCTCGTAACATGGCAGCTAGCCATAGTAGGCATTAAAAATCAACACAATTCTTAATCATTCCTCCTGCACCTATTAGAGCACCGCACTTTGCCGTGTTTGATACATGACGAGGGACAAATTACCGGTCAGACGCAGGCCAAAGCGATAAATGGTGAGCAGAAAAAGTAAAGGAGGATGGAAAAAGTGACTTCATGTTTGGATGAGCTGATTCTGACTTCACCTGCAGGCCGGGGGTGATTATTCTCATTAGCTCTGTACAATACTGTATTTTGGGTGCAGCTACTTTAGTATGGCCATAAAACAAGTCAATTACATAAAATTATGCACATTTACTATCCACAGCCCTGTGTTTCTACTGTATATTGATTCAAGGAAAAAAACTTGCTTATCCATATGAAGTAAAGAAATGCCAAATGATTAAATAGAATAACAGCATTCTGAGGCTTTCCTGAGAAATAATTACACATCTTTGCTGCTGAGAATCTAATTCCCATCTGATTTTTGCTCCGTGCTTCAGTCCTATATTTCACTGAGATCATGATACACCGTAACTGTTGGTTTTTAGTGTTTAAAGCCCAGTTTCCCTCAGGTATAAATAAAGTGCTTCATTTTATAGACCCAAATTATTCATTAGTCACACATTTAAACACACCGCCATCTTTTTTTAAAACTTATGTCACCGTTCATTGTTCTGCTCGGGCTCTCAACGCCTCGTTAACACTTGTGCCAATTAAGCTAACTCAGGTGAAATGTTTGAAACTGGCAAGGAATAAAAAGCGGGGGGAGAGAGAGAGAGGAGGGGGGGTGGAGAGTGAGGTTCAGTTTAAATGCCATCCCCGTCTGCTTTTGTGAGGGCGAGAAGACCAACTCTGGCTCTTTCTCTCTCTCAACCCACAGGTCGTACATATACCATCTGTAAACACAATTATTCACAGCTGCTTGCACGCCCACAGGCTACTGCCACCCAGTGTGTGTGTATGTGTGTGTGTGTGTGTGAGAGAGAGAGATAGCGATAGAGAGCAGGAGAGTGTGTAAGTGGCTCTGTATCTGCCCGTACACAGAGGAATGAGGTCAGGGCGATGTTGTGTGTGAGTTGCAGTGTGCGAGGGGATGATGGTGTTGTACAATCTTCCACTTTGATGGTCAAACATGTTTTAGCTGCAGGTATTTTCCTGAGGAAGTGTGTCTGAGTGTGTGCGCTGCTCTAGCAGAGAGGCCAACAGATTACAGAGGATTAACACACCACTACAGATACACTTTACTCTCGCTCTGTTTCTCTCAGCCCGATTCTAAAACTTCAGCCTCCGTTGCTACGATAAGCCGAGCTCCATACAGATCATTTATTTGAACAAAATCCTTCTTTTTTTCTTATCTTTCCATCTGTGAGTAGATCATCCCCTCGCTCGGCTTTGTCCAGCAAATCTCCGTTCAAAATTCCAGCGATTTTTGTCTGCGGGAATTAGCGCACCACAGATTCAAAACGCAGACTCTGTATATCATATGCAGCTGGATGTAATTAAGGTTCAACATTAAATAGTTAATCAAGCAATAACTAGACCAACTGGCAGCACGTGTTTTCCAGATTATGTTTTTTAGGAAGTGACTGAGCATTGGTGCCGGGCCGTACACTTTGTTCTGTGTCCTTAGCAGGCTGTTTTGATGTGTCCTGCTGTCTTCCTGCAGACTCTATTGATCAGTCAGCTGTGTGGCTGATTGCTGATCGGTCACATCTCAAGTGCTTCAGACAGATTGATGGAAAGCTGGAGGAAATGACTGTCTGCTCTCAAACATGTTTTCTTTTTAGCGTTTTGCATCATTTGATTACAGTTCTTTTACCCTTGTTAGTTAACTGTCTCTTGTGCTTATACAAATACTCTTATAGCAGATTACAGAAACATCGAACATATCCTCTGTCTATATGGAACTAGTTGAATTCAAGCATGGATTCTGCATAGAAGCATCGCTCCACAGCACATAGTAAAGAGTGGCGCTTACATCACGCATGGCCACGATGGCTCTGAGGGATTGCAGCCTGTCCTTAATGCATCTTGGTTCCTTTTCCTCTTGTCTTTGTAGATGGATTATCCACATATAGTAATATAATCTGGACTTAATCCGCATATAAACTGGATACTCATGACATATGACACTGTTCTTCCAGGACTGGGCTCACAGTAGACCATCTGTTCCCTGTGAGCTGTGGTCATTCTGCACCAGAATGTTAACCTCTAACATCCCAGAGGTCACCAGTGACACATCATGTTCAAGTATGTCTTGGATAAAGCACAACGGGCCACAGTAAACATGGGTCAGTAACAGTTCACTGAACTTGGGAGGCAGAGCCTTCAGCCTTCAGCCTCTTCTGTGGAACCAGCTCCCAGTTTGGATTTGGGAACCAGACACAATCTCTGCTTTTAAGATTATGCTTAAAACTTTCCTTTTTGATAACGCCGATAGTTAGGGCTGGACCAGGTGAACCTGAATCTGCAATAGCTTTACGCTGATTACCATGATGC